TCCTGCTGTGCAGGACAACAGACTTCTGATCTTAGCCAAAATCTGTGGCTACAACCCCAACACAAATAGCAGTATTTATTAATTTCCTCCAGTAAATCTAAAAACAAGGAAACAATCTCCCCCATAACGGCAATCACATAACTGGCTGGTACCCCAGTGCCCAAGTGCCAGTACCTGCTTTCCAAGATGGGCTGCAGACAGACTTGGTTTATTAGGACGTGAAAAGCTTCTATCATCTTCTTTCTGGAATGTGAAATTCTCCTCCACAAATCAGCAAAAACACTTCAGAGAGAGTAAAAAGACACTGTTGGCGTCAGCACAAGAAATCTGAACCTTCAACACACCTTTACTCCAGAGTTAACCCTCTACAGGAGGGAATTCATTAGTAGAATCATTTCTTTGCTGCAAGGACCAGAGATTAGAGCCATTTCAGAGTCATTAAGGAAAATCCATGCTCTGCACAAAGTTGGGCTCAATCACCAATTGTCCCGACAGCCAGACACGTGGTATCTCAACTGTACCAGCATAGTCTGCGCCTTAAAATGAGGGCAAACTACACATAGATATCATTCAAGTTTTCACACTTTGTTACAATTTGAATGCATCTCCCATCAAGTTTCTTCTTAGCCAGCAGTGAATGAAATCATTAGTCACCCCAGTGCCCAGGAAAATCTGGAATTAGAAAAGCCATCTCTTCAGAGTTCTTTGAAATAGCATTAAAAAAAAAAAAAGACAGAAAGACTCTGCAGAGATGGGTAAAGCAGCACAAAGTGAATTTTTAACTAAGCCCTGGGAGACTTTTATTGAAAAGAAAACGCAAGCCTTTGCAGACATTTTCACCTGTTATCCTCATAATGCCTCTTCTTAATTGCAGATTCCAGCTCAGGAATTGCCAATTCATAAAACGAAGCTAATCTGTGGAAAGGGGCAACAAAACAATAAGTGTCAATTGAAGTTTCAAAAATCATTTGCCGAAGGACAAATCAAATGGTTAATGTCATTAAATTCTCACTAGCAGTGCTCGTTAGCATTACCCCCATTTTGTTATTTGCTCCCTGAAACGCAAGCAAGCAAATACGCACGAGACAAAGAGCAGCACTCAAAGGAAACCATCAAGGTGTCTTTGGAGACGTAGGCAAAAAAATGCCTTCGAAAAGCATCACACTACTGAACAGAAGAGCAACTGAAAAACATCCCAAACACAAATTTGCGGTCTGCAAAGAGCTGAAACGCTCAAGTCCACCCCAAAACACCCCCTCCCACTCCAATATCCTTATGGCCCTATCTTGCTGTGTGCTAAAAACTGGGATAAAACAGGATATTACTTCCAATAAAAGTCTTACTGGACTTGCTACTCAGCTCTGCTGTAGGTGGGCATTTAGATGAAGGTATCCAATACGCAGAAAGCCTACGAGGAGGTTTCAATAGGATGGGGCAGGGAGGAAACGAAGTCAGTTTGGTCCAGTTTCACATTTTACGTGCCAGACAGCCCACCCAGACCCCTTCCTGCAGGGACAGAGCACCAAGAGACGCGGAGAAACGCCCTTGTGGAATAACAGCCAGTACCACTTCATCAGGAGCTGGATGTTCCAAATAACGGTTTACAGCGCTTCCCACGAAAGCCACGCCTGCTGAGCTGATGAGCAGAGGCTCCATTAGGAACATTACTTCCTCCGCTCATATTAAGAGCCAAATATGTTAAAGGGATATCCTTGAGGCAAACGTAGCAGAAGCTGGTTGATACTTTTAGTCAGGGAGAGAAATTAGCAAGCGCCAGCGGATCGATTCAGACTCGCAGAGATTCCCAAAAGATGACACGTAAACCAGTCTTCCCTCCCCACACTCCGAAGACCCGCTCATCAGTCCATATCGAAAAGTAATGAAAATGCTGCCGTTGTCCCACTGCGCCAAGATCTAAGCCTATTTTAGCACATCTCTGACATCAACAGGAGAATGAAAAGCAAAAGGCTTTCCTCCCCCGAGTACCCAAGCGCGTGCGCAGCGCTGCTTGCCAAGCCAAACAGCCACCAGCAGCCCACCAATCCGCTCCTCTTTCAATAACCAACGCGCCAGCAACCTCCAAAGAGGACAGAGAGCTACAGACCCCAGAGACCTACAGACCCCAGAGAGCTACAGACCCCAGAGAGCTACAGACCCCAGAGACCTACAGACCCCAGAGACCTACAGACCCCAGAGCAGCGTTACCCAACCTGTGGTCCACAAACCACTGACAGCTCTAAGATTTCAGAGGTCTGCAACGTGATTAGAAACAAAAACAAAATACAAACGTGCGTTTGCTCACGCTAACACGCACACAAAACAGGGGAAATCAAGACAATAAATTAAAAACTTCTGTTGGTCCTAAACAAAGGCTGTTATGGAAAGACTCTACAAGGTGATGTGGGGGCTTAAAACAGCTGGAGCAAGGCGGTAAGTGCCCCTCAAGGACATGCAGCCTCCGTGGGAACACACTCAGCTCTCTGGTCCTTGAGACCACCCCGACTCATCGGCACTGCGCTCCAGAGTTGGACAGGGAATTCGCTGTCAGCCCAGCTGTGACAGCACCGGCACGTCCTCCTCTCCCAGGCAACTCAGCTTTTGCCAAACCTCAATTATATTCTCTAGCATAAAACTTAGGTGTAACAGCAAAGGAAAAACGTTTATTTTCAGGCCTGATGGACTATCGCTCCATAAGACTTTCTAGTTCCCTCACTTCAGGTCTACAGCACGAAGGTCTTTTTATCCACAACTCTTTTCTGCTCGTCTGTCTCCAAAGCACAGCAGGTACTGTGTACCGTCACGGTTGCCTGGCTCTAGGATCTAGATAATGATGAAGGTGAACATATAACACACAAACTCTAGACGTCCCTATATTCATTTATTTACTGGGAGTCTCTGTATTCCCACCAGTGTGAGCGGAGCAGTCTGTAGTTGCATTAAATCTGTCTACCCTTTTAATGATGAAGGCACTGGGACAGGACACAGCAGCACATTCAGTATTTTTACTTCGCCAAGACAAGCTCTGTCTGCAGTCCAAGACGTACCTGTAGCAAAACTCATGTTTTTGGAAGGTCTGGCAAGCCAATGGGAAGACATCAAGAAACGCCCAGAGTGTCGTGCAAGTGTCGCATAAGTACAGCACAATATCTTTCAGCTCCTGAGACAGAAAGAGCAATTACTGAGAGAAAAGCCAGACAAGTTTTCCTGGGAACACAGTATAACTCACTGGCAGGGACACATCATGTTCAGACCAAGTGTTTTTCCAGACTGCACAGAGAGAGTCTGCTATCGATCATAAACACATTACATGTTACCGGGTCTAGAGGCAGAGACGTCTCTACTAAACCTTCTATCCTTTGAACCTGTAATGCAATCACCACTCTTGACTCTTGTGAACGATTCTATGAAATTATGAGAATCCTCATCAGAGCCTGTTTTGGAGAGCACCTTTGCCCTCTGGATCTCCTCTGCATACAGCATTCTTCCCCATCTATCTGGAAGCGCTGCATAGCAGTAATACAGGAAATAAAGGGATAATTTCAGTGGTCCATTTCAGCGGAAGATGCATTTCCAGGGTAGCTGTAACAACTCCCACATACAGACTGTATGACTAAGATTTTGTAGAAGCCCACGGTCGCCGAGACGGGGCCTGTCTGTGCACAGGACCTGCACAAAAAAACCCCTCTTACTACCTAGAGTTAAAGTACACTGTTGTTAAACAAACATTGCTGAAGAAAAGATCAACTCTGATCACTGGTAGGGTTACCTGGGGACTCCTGTCAGACGCTCTGTTACATTACTTATAAGCTGGTTAAGCAAAAAAAAAAGATGCCAGGTTTAAAAAGAACTGGCACTACAATGGATATGGTTGAAATGCACACGAGCAAAGCAACCAGCTCACGGTGGAAAGGTTTCATCATCAAGTCTATGACAAACAGTGAAGCAATGACATGGAACCACGCGCCGTACGAGGCACCAGTATTTGGGAACAGAACGACCCGCTGTGGTCTTACTGCTCCGTGGAGTGTTCAGTCTGCAGGACTACAAACAGTAAAGTGCCAAGAGAGACAGTTCTACCTGGAGGGGCATGTTCCCCGGAGTCACATTGACTCTTTCTTCCAGTTTCTGGGGCTCAGCAGAGGCTCCTTCACACTGCAAGCCACACTTGTGCAGAATATTGTTGAACACCTAGATGAAGAGAACAGAACGGTGTTAAAACAGACGGGGGAAGGCAGTGGGACACGCTTTCCATGCGATACGTGACTACGCACAGCACAGGGCTGCGTAAGATGAAAGCCGCAACGGAGTCTCGCAGGGTACGGGAGGAAGGGTCACGCTGCACTTCTGAAATTCCATGCGACCTGAGTGCAATTTAAGTGCAGCTGCATACGGCGGTGGTGCTGCGACAGGGCCTGCAGCTAAGCCAAACCCTCAGCTACGTGAGAAGATCGGCCAGAAAGGCCAACACGGGGAGGCCACCCGGCATCCCGACGTGCAAGGGAGCGGTGGGACAACCGGGGAGTTAACAGCACCTCCTGCCTACGGGCTGGTCCCAAAGCCTGCCTGCCCTCTCCCCCGAGACAGGACAGATTTCGTGGCTCGTGTTTATAAACAAAGAATGTGGGGAGAAGCCCACAGAATCGGGTTCTGGATTGCTACCGAACTCTGGTGTGGGACCAACTTTAAAGCGACTCCTCTACGCTTGCACCCGAAGAGATTTGTCAAATCCTCCGCCCGGAGACACGTGAATGGGTGACTAAAGGTATTGCAGTTGCATACGTGGGGTTGATATTACTATTCCACGGGGCACGTAGGCTCCTAAACCCACACGGGTATCCACTCCTTTCAGTGACAGTGTAAACACATAAATAACTTCACGGATCAGTAATGACACATCTTTGTTTGAGCTGTTACGTCCACACACTTGAGGTACACTGGTATCACCCTGCAACGGTTACGAAGACACCCAGTAAAGAAACCAGTGTTCTGCAGAGAAACCGCTCCGAGGTGGTACATCACGAACAGCAAACAGCATCTCTGCTGTCCTCCCCAGTAATTCATGTGAAGGTTTGGTCTCGCATCCTAGACTATTTTTCAAGTATGATATCACCTCTGAGATTTAGCTCTAACCGTTTCTTAACACACCGAAAGAAAGAAAAATGCAGGCTTTCAAAAAATCAAGTGACATTATAGGTGTCTTGGGGTAAACAGTACCTTGGGTTTGTTTACTGTTGCGCACAGGTGAGCTTTTTGAGGACATAAACACGACATTTTCAGGGTACAAAGATGTCAAGGCACCTTGACTTCTCCCTCAGGTTAAATGCGAATCCTGCTTACTGAGTCTGGGGAATATACAAGCTGCTTGTGAAAACGACAGCTCAGGCGTGGAGAGGTGCCAAATATCTTTTGTATGGCAACAACGCATCCCTTCCAACAGACCGTCATTGACTCTGGAGAACCTGCAGCGTTAACGCTAACCCATTCCACTATGTCAAGCCTTAGCTACCTCTCACGGGCTCTATTTTGTTGGTTTAAGTTTCAATGCGCCCCCTGCTTGGCGGGGGGGATACAAAGAACATTTTTTGAACTGCCTCACGAAAATTCCCTGAGATTAACTGCAGAGAAGGCCCGAAGCTGAAGGAAGGTAACAGGAAAGAGTCATCATGTAATAGTTTTATATAAAGGTTCGAAAACTGCTTGACATACATTAGCATGAACTAGAGAGAGAAAGTAAACAACAGCAAATGCATTCTGCCTGCCCACGACCACATTTGCTCCCTTCCACCCTCTAAGATATGCCCCATTTCCAGGTGAAGCCCAAGCCCCGAGCCAGGCAGCAGTGCAGTACCTGGAGGACGGTGGGCAGAGTTTCATCTAGGTCGCTGAAGTAACTCGGCTGCCAAGTGAAGATATTTTCTGAGAAGAGAGAGGGAAAGATACCATTTCCCGTTAGTTCAGACATTCACACCAACAAGCACATTTGCAAAGACGTAGTTGTATTATTCCCTTCCAGTCCCTAAAGGGGCTCCAGGAGAGCTGGGGAGGGACTTTTTACAAGGGCATGGAGTGCTAGGATGAGGGGGAATGGCTTCAAACTGGAAGAAGGAAGATTTAGATGAGATATGAGGAAGAAATTGTTGGCTGTGAGGGTTGTGAGCCCCTGGGGCAGGTTTCCCCGAGAAGCTGTGGCTGCCCCATCCCTGGAGGTGTTCAAGGCCAGGTTGGACGGGGCTTGGAGCAACCTGGGCTGGGGGGAGGTGTCCCTGCCTAGGGCGGGGGGTGGAACTGGGTGGTCTTCAAGGTCCCTTCCAACCCAAACCATTCTGATTCTATTACTGACAGCCCCCAGTCCCTCCAGGTACAGCTAATAACCAGTTAGGGCACAGGCACAGGCTCACTTCTCAACTCGCGCACAGGACCTGCTCCGACAAAGCTGAGCCATCAACTCTTCTGTGCAACCGGAGAACTGGTAATGAGAATACGCTCATCAGAGCAGAGCCAACGAGATGTTAGATGATTCACGCCCCAGAGGCTGAATCAATGAATAATGCAAATACTATCGCTAAACATTCCCAGTTCCTTTATTTGACAACTGGAGTTGACTTTTAATTACTGATAACAGTTCAGCATACACTGGAAAATGTTCTGCAGAATATTTCTTAAAGGTAATGAGGCTTTAGTAATACCTGCTATTATATTACTAGGACTTCATTATCTTTACAAAATACTCCACTGAGTAATGGCATACCATAAATCCTCACCAAGCAAGCACAGAGGCTGCCTATTTTCCTGTGAATTACTGTTCAGACAGTGAAAATTAACAGAGTTCTCCAGCAAGGACAGAGCACAGGTAAGAGTTATGAGACAGGTTTCAGAAAAATTTATACCCTGAGAAGAACCTAAAGTTTATCAAGTTATGAATTACACACCAGAACTGCTCATGCTGTTACTGTTACAACATAACGCAAATAATCAGGTGAGCAAATCATTGCTCACTTGCATGCAGCCTTGTTGCGTTGCACTCTAAAACGTATGTATAATTCAAATGAGGTTTCATACACTTAGGTCATCTTTGGAATATTTTAAGACCCAGAATATCTAAGCTTCACATCTGAAAGAATGTCTTCTCCTGCCTTCTTCCCACCTCTGAGGCTTTACAGATTAATTTAGAGTGGAAGTAACCGAAAAAGGACAAAAGGATTCAAAAACGCAAAGGTTTATCTGAGCTTTTCTGGCCTGGAAATATGGCTGCATCACATGATCTCTAATGCTTCTCGTGCTAGTAAACTTGGAAATGAGACAAAAATAACTACCACAGAAGGAAAAAGTTTCATTACATGAACTGCAGACAAAGCGGGGTAGAATTTAGGAAGAAGAGCTCACTTAATCCAAGGTTAGGCACTCTTCCGTCTGTGCTCAGATGGATGTTAAAGATCACAGGTAGTTAGTTCCCTTGTGAAAAGAGCACAGGATAAATACAGGAGCTAAACCAATACGTCTGCGTTACGCAGGCTCTAGCGCCCAAGGCTGAGGTGTTGCTTAATATGCACTTGCCACTAAGACCGTCTGTACAGACAGAGAAACCTAGGGATAAGCACAGCTTGAGCAATGCTCCGAAGTGCTTTGTGGTTTGAAGGCACTATATAAATCAACGTCTGTATTGAAATGTCAAGTTCTCCCACTTCGTAGACCAGCGATTACTTCACGTTGCACATTTTGCTCGGCTCCCAGCTCTGGGAACAAAAGCACTCATATGAGCAGTTGGATTGTGCCCCATGTCCTAACCCTCCTCCCTCCCTGCCCAGGAACTGGGTCGTTTGCCCCTTCCCATCTCTACCAGGATTTTACAGAGCCCTCACGGTCCTCTTACAGTAGCTGAGGACACATTTCATTGGCACAGGAAACAACTGCTGAGGCATAACTGAGCCTTGGTGCACGCCGAATGCCACGAGCCCAGCTCAGGACAGCCAAGCAACAGGCCACGATGCGTTCTTTGACATAAGTGAAGTTCAGAAGGAGACAAAAAAAAAAAAAAGTCATCTGATCTAATCGGTCTAGAAATTATAAATTCTAGTTGCTACTGAACAATTCATTTTCCAAGTAGTAATATTGGTATAAAACCCCACTCATCACTCCCCATTATACAAGTAAGCAAAAGCCTAAATGCAACAAGCCGTTCCTTGGCTTAACTAACCAATCATCTTCTGGAGCAGGAGACCATTTCCTTTTCCAAAAAGCACACAGAGGTCCAGAATCTTAGGGATGTCGAACAGGAAGTTATTGTAAATAATTTCTCCAAAGACAGATGGAGTGATAAAATGATCCTACAAAGAAAAAAAAAAAAAAAGGTAATTTAAAGGATAATTCGTATCTTACTCTGCAAGAACTCCAGCATTATAGTGATACCTGTAAAAACATCTCTCAAAAATGTCTTAAGGATTTTGTTTCATAGAAGGCAGCAACTCTGCTTACACTGTCTTCTGCAGAGCCCTCCATGCCCACGCTCCCTGCTGCTTGTCCCTGCCACTACACCCTCCACCCCACTGGCCTCTCCCCCCTCGTTATGGGGCCAGGCTGCACCACGAAATCAACCAATCGACCTAAAACCTACAACAAAAAGGTACTTACAGTTCATTCTGTTCCCAGCCCTGGCTCACTATACGGCCAAATAAACAGCTGAGCTGACAGGGGAATGGCTCAGCTCAGTAGTAAGAATGAGTAACCAGGCGTAGGAACGATTTAACTGGCACTGACATGGAAAAAATACACACGAGATCACAGTCCGAGGTTATTGGTACCCCGGAGGAGTGGAATCAAGGCACCAAAGACAACTGCCTCAGCGACAAGTAGGAAGAAAACCCGGGAACCGCAGCTCTATGTACCCTGACTGCTAGAACGCCCTCAAAACCACGACTCATAACGTTGAGGGAATTTCTCCTAAAATTCCAGATGACAAAAATTCCATTGTCTTTGAGACTGCGAAGTGAGCAAGCTAAAACGTGATCGTGGATTTTCAGAAGACAAATTTGCTTATGACAGCAGATGTTTTCAATCACGGCGAAAGGCAGTACGCACATTCCCCCTGCTAAAGCAGAGGGACGGGGCTTTACGCCGGCTAGGTTCAATTTCTAGAACTCCTGCTGACGGCCCGCGTGACAAAAGGCTATTCATTCTCTTCAAACTACTCAACTATAAAATGGTTTCAAATGCTCGTCTGCCTCATTGGAGTGGTAAGATTTAATCAGATCCTGGAATGAAAGACACCATAGAGGTGTCGTATGTTCGCTGAAGCGGTGCCAGCCGCAGGCTCCAGCATTCCTTCTACCTGTTCCCGCCCCAGTCCTTCAATTCCCACTCCCAAGAACTTTCCTCAAAATGTCCCGAATGTCACCACTGTGCTAATCGAGAGAATCAGTACATCGCCAAACAACATATTGTGAACCAACGAGGATATCAAGGGAGTAATTGCCAAAACACAAGGTGCCTCACTCATTCTGCCCAAAGGCCTTTGGGAGAATTCCACGGCTGCTGATGGGAGTTGTACTCACGCAATTAGGGCCGAGTATGCCTTTCAATTATGATGCCAAGAAAACAGTAATTTACAGCAATTTCACCGTGTGTCTAAAACTCAGGGAAAGTTCAAGCAGAGAGCAGTATTAGCACAGATTCCATGACACTGCACGGCACAGAGGAAGCCAACACTCGGCTACTGGTGGCCTGAAGAGCCTCTGTTCCATCCAGCCGTCCAAAGGCCAACTTGCTCTTTTTTCCTCCTCCAGCGATGTATCATACCACCACCCGTGGCTAACCTGCTATTACTTAGTTGATTGCCTGGATCTCTTTCTTAAGAAATCACTGCATACTTCAGATACTTCAGCTCTGAGTGGTTATCATCTCCGTACGGAGAAACCGACTGATAAGAACAGCCAGAGAGAGGAACGCAGCTGGACATGCACGCAAGAAACATGATTAATTTCTCCAATTGTCTTCTTTCCTAAGTTATACAGCCCCGAGCACCGGCAAAGCAAAGAAATGTTTACCTTGGACTCCTTGTGAGTGGACATTCTGAGGAAAGTCAGGAAGACGCTCCGATGAAGACATTTCTGCATGTCATTCACCTCTGGATGGCAATCCAGCAACGCATCAAACTTGCGAGGGGCATAGCACAGGTAGGAATCCAGACATTTCTGAAGCGTCTCATCAAATATCACCTTGCGCAACGGAAGACAAGAAAATGGAAAGAAGGGAAATGTCACACATTCATAGGTTGCGTTCACGGGCAGCCCAGTTAAATTTAAAAGCAGTCTAAAACATTCAAGAGTGTTAAAAGGATTCACATATGCATCAAATACAAGCAAACTCTTAAAATCCACAATGAAAAATTTGTGGGGAAATACTACTTTCTTTGCCCTCTGAGGTGCAGTAATTAAAATTCAAATGCTTGACAAATGACATAATGAGCATATATAAGTCTTTATGAAAACGATTTAAAGTTCGTGGCTTTTACAAGCACCTAGATGGTTCATGCTTTTTTTTCTCCAGTGTCCACAAAACAGTTATTACCTGGCACCAAAATTTGTCATGAGGCAAAGCCAGAAGCCAGTTCAGGTCATCTGCAATGAATTTTGCTCGCTCCAAGAATTCTTCCACTAAAGCAGGGTCTCTGACAACAGGTGGCGGTCTGTATAGCACAAAAGACCGATCTGCTTTTATTTCTGGGTGCTGCAGAAAGCCAGAACACTGTATTAAAACCACAGAAAAAGGGACAGGAATCCCCAGTTACCATTTGCACCGCTCGCTGTATTTTTAGGAAACCAACACGAAATTACACTGGAATACAATTTGACATTCAGTTCCCTGGTAACTTCCCATTTTCTAATCTTTCAAGGCAGCAGATCAGTGGGTTTGCATCCTTATTTATCAGCAATATTTTCAGACCGTCATAATTTGGTAGACGTTGCTCCTTGCATTCTACTAACCGAGAGCCTCGCAAAGCAATCCTCCCACATGCTCAAAACAAACAGCAACAGCTTCACGTCATGCCTTTGAAACGTGGCCTGCGCTCTCTCTGTTTCCTCCTAACTGGTTCTTGCACAATATTCCACAAAGTCAAATCGACACGACCACCAAACACAGAGATGAAACGTTTCACTACCCTTCCCCAGGGTTACCAAACAGGTTTTGCCCAAATCCTCCCACCCGAGAATGAGAATCACGTCGAGCGGCGAGCAGCAGCTTGGAGCTCTGCCTCAACCCCGACGTGTGCCCAGGGTCCACCTCCCGCATTAACGGCAGGTCCCGCTTCTGCCACAGGTCCAGGAGAAGGCTCCCTCCACGCCGCCTTATTTCTGGGAGAAAAAAAAACTATCTGTGGCTTTAATTTGCTGACTCCACCAAGCTGATGCCACGGGGCGGGAGGTCGTGGGATGCAGTAAGCAGATGGACTTTCCCAGGGCTATAGCTCAGGGCTAAACTTCACACAGAACTTGCAAAAGCTCCCAAAGCACTGTCTCTATCGCAGCAGAATTTACACAGCTAATCGGGCTGTTCCTCCAAAGAGTAAGGAGTTCTGGGAGAACACAGTTTACTATAGATGTTGAGCACAGGAAGTCTTCCTTTGCCCATCACTGAAATAAAATTCTCAACTACCTGAATGCACTAAAACATGAAGAAAACAATTTCTTTACCAGGCAAGCTGGCCAGATTTCATCATATCCTGGACCAAGGGCTAGTTTTGCCCAAGCCTGAATATAAGCCAATTATTTGTTGAAGATCTTATTTGGCTTTCAGGAAAAACAGAGCTCACCAGTGCCGGTAATGTTCTCAGCTTCCCTGTCTTGGGATCCCTTTCCGTCAGCTGGAGCTCATCCAGTGGCAACGCTGGCATCCTGATGACTTGTTCCTGTCTTCAGCAAAGAGAAAAACAAAAGCAGCACAGGATGAGTTTTACAAGGTCAATCAACCAAAAGCATAACAAAAGAGGCTACAGCCTTACTGTCACACACACGCACACACACAGCGGCCACAAATATATTTATGCAAAGCAATTTATACACCACCCAAACACCAAACCTCAAGGGAACACCCAAGAGCTAGCTGCACGTGCCTCAGAAGAAACCTGTAACGTGGTGCTATACCTTCATCCCCGTTCCCTACTGAGAAAGAGGTCATCGACATCTTCCAGGACAGCAAAAAGCATTTGGGGACATTGTTTAATACGGGAGCTCAATATTTCGATCTGGGAGCTCGATATTTCGATCTGGTTCTGAAGACGGTGGCTGAAGTCTGCTTTTGCAGTCTACCCCCTGACATTACAAACTGGAGAAGCAATCAAAAAGACATCCTGCCAATGTACGATTACAAGAATATTTTTGGTGCTTACGTGGCAGAATCGCTCAGTGCTCACCCAGGTAAGGCACACAGGGTGAGCCTACAAAACACAGCCTTCCTTTCCCCTGCCTATTGCCCACACGCTCACGAAACCGCATTTGATTCTACAACAGCATTTTTGAGAACTCAGAAATATTTCCATTAACTTTCTGGAATTAGCTGCAAGTCAAACCTTAGAGTAATTCAAAAGAAATGATGACATGCGCCGTTTAAAAAGTTCAGATATTAATAAAAAATGAACATTGCAGGTTAACAGAGCTTTTCATTTCTTGGGGTTTTACAGTATTATGACTTCTGTGAAATGGTACTAAAAAGTAATGTTCTTGTTAAGATCTAAGATCACGAGTCTCTTTATACGCACACCTAATTGCATTCCCATTGCCCGGGCAGAACAACAATGAAAACAGGAGAAGTGTCCCTACAGCTGACCAATACTGACCCAGGAGCAAGCCCTCAGTTCAGACGGCAAGTGAAAGAGGAACATTTTTGGTTCCAGAGAATTTGTCTCCTACAGACTTAGGCAAAAACGGCGTCAGTTAATATTTTAGAGTTGATTTTTTCGGGGGGGGGGGGGG